AAAATATTATTAAAAAAAAGAAAAGAAAGTGAACCTATTCTCTCCTGAAGCTTACAAGTTCTCCTGGTTATCCATTAGTGCAGCTGTAAGGAGATGTTCAAAAACATTCAGTCAACTTTAAGATAAACTGCAGCTCGTTGTATTATCCAAGTCTAACCAAATTATGATTATTAACTTTGATTTGAGGAAGCAAGCTAAACATGGCTGTTTTTCATATAGAAAAGTCAGTTTTCAAACAGAATTGTAGGATAAATGACTATTATTGTTAGCCTTTAACTCACTATAACACAGTTTTAGTTAACCATTTTTTTTTTGGCCTTCAAGTCAGTGTTGACTCCTGCTGACTGCCTGAAGTAGTCCCTGCAGTTTTCTTGGCAAGATTTTTGTAAGTGGTTTCCCCTTGCCTGCTTCCTAGGGCTGAGAGAGAATGACTGGCCCAAAGTCGCCAGCTGGCTTCCTGCCCAAAGCAGAATTAATGGTTTCCAGGTTTCCAGCCTGGTGAATTAATCACACCACCAAACTGGCTCTCTAACCACATTTAGGGATCAGATAACATATTGGTTTAGATAGCAGCACCAACATCTGGTTAGTAGCTAGATAGGAGACCACCAGAGAATACCAGGGCTGTAGCTGAAATGGCAGACCAATTCTGCTGTCAAGAAAATTACATGGAAATGCCCCTGAATTCTGCAGAAGTTGAGCTCATCTTGAAGGAGACTTTACTTTTTAATCCCAAATACAAAGAGAAACTTCTGAGGTCCTCCTTGTGATTTCAAAGAAGAAAAGCATGAATATCAGTGGAGTCTACACTTAGCTTTTGAAATGCTGAAAACCATGATTTGGCATTATATTTGAACACTTTTGATACTTAAGTGCTGATATACAAACTCATTTAGTTAACTGTATACTAACATCACTATTTAATCCAGCCTTTCCTAATCTGGTGCCCATCAGATGCAGTACAGGTACTCCTTGCTTAGCGATCACAATTGGGACTGGCAACTTGGTTGTGACATAGTCATTAAGTGGAAAATTATGTGACCATGAGTGACCTTACGAACTTACTTCCCCTTTGGTCGTTAAGCAAAGCAATGCGGTTGCTAAGCAAAAAATCATGTGACTGTGACTTATGATTTTACTTCCACTTTCTGTATTAACTCTGTTGCAAGCCAGTTGCAAAGTACTTAAATGGTGATCAGTGACTGAGGGATGCTGCAACGGTTACAAATGCGAGGACTGGTCGCAAAGTTATTTTTTTTAGCACTGTTGTACCTTCAAATAGCTGCTGCACAAGGCAGTCGGTAAGCGAGGACTACTTGTACAACTACCCAAATTTCCAGGTTGGGGAAGGCTGGCTTAAACAATTAAGAGAATCCCCTTTGAACAGGTGAAACAAAGTCATGCACACATATTCCAAAACAGTCAGACTGTAAAATTCAAATGCTGGTAGATTGTGAAGCATGGAGAAGAATCACAATCAGTATTCAAAATCTGAAATTTCATTTTTTTAAAAATGATACAATTTTTGCACAAAAAGTTTTCATTGCCCTCTATAGTCTTCCCTCAAGAGAGTATTATAGTTGGGGTACTGCCCCATCTTCTTAGCACTCAGAGTACCTTTTTCTCCACTCCAGGAGTACAGTACTATTTATTATGACTTACTTGTGTAATGAAGTGGTGTGAGTGTCACAAGCAAGCTATTTACCTATTTTCAACATTTATACCCCAGTTTTCTAACACACATTCAGAATTCAAGCATTTACAATAAAAAAAAAAAAAAAAGGGCAGCTTTTGGTCAGAAGCTGGATCTGTTGAATATTGTGTGTGAATGAGAGCTGTGTTGGGCAATATAAAAGCTTCTTTGCAAGAACCAAGACAGATGCGGTACTCTTGTTTCAGGGTTTCTTCTGCTATAAAGCACTGCTTACATGATGAGGTTGCTGCATGTAAGCATAAGCAAAACAGTATTATTCTCATGGTGAAATGGGTGTCTGAGCCTTATGGCATAGTGGCTAGCCTAAGATCATTTGAGAGCCAGTTTGGTGTAGTGGTTAAGGCACCAGGCTAGAGACCAGGAGACCGCAAATTCTAGTCACCTTAGGCACAAAGCCATCTTGGACCAGTCATCCTCTCTCAGCCCAAGGAAGAGGACAAGGGCAAACCACTTCTGAAAAACCTTGCCAAGAAAACTGCAGGGACCTGTCCAGATAGTCACCAGGAGTCAACACTGGCTCAAAGGCACAAAAAAAAAAACACCCCAAAAAACATTTAGAGTTGCACCACCTACAAACAGCAACTAGGACTGCCTTTGGACCCCTGAAGGCCAGCCCCATCACTGGGCAAAGTGAAGCAAGCACTTCAGGCAGCAGATGCTGCAGGTGCTTCTGAGTTCTTTGCTCGTTTCCCTTTGGCGGAGGACAAAGCCATGTGGACAGCTTTGAACCTAGACTGCTGTTCTCAGGCGCGGTGGAGGAACGTTGCCAGTGTTGAAGAAAGAGTCAACTGTTTTTGCACATGGGATAGAAGAGGGCATCCTCTCAACCTTGGCCTTAGGCATCCAAGTGTCTTGGGATGGCCTTGCATACATGAATGCTATCTGGTGCCTCCTGATGCAAGAACACAGTGTGAATTACAAGAGAGACGCGTTCTTCAATAACCAGAACCACGCACCCTGGAAACCTTCACTAGGCCTCAGCTCTGCAATGCATATAAATGGAAGTTTTAAGGAATGCGTCTCCCCTTCATGCTTCATTCATTGTAAGAATACTGTTGCATCCATGCTAAGTGTATAGTGTTGCTGCTCTTATGAAAACTGCGGCTAAGGCGAGATTTTAATGCAGGTATGGTTAAGATGAGATTCCAATTGTGACTGAAGTGAGATATGAGGGCATTGTTAATCGTAATAATGGTACCATGCTTACAGCTATTTTGCAAACCGTTTGTATTAGCTTAATTTAATGTAACTTACGTATTCATGTGAATTCCTTGTCTCAGAATTATATAGTGCCTCTTCTCTGGCAGAGAATTTGAACTCTGGTCCTTTGTCACCCCCCAAGCAGTGATCAGAGCTCCCACTCCTGATTGCTTCCAGCTGTCAGGATCAACCTAGGCATAAAGGCAAGCGAAGCAAAATGCCAGCCCAGCCTGGCAGAGCTAAGCAAGTGACTTGGGGAGAAAGCCACATGGCCTGTGTCCCTGGAGCTGATGTCGCTCACCTTTCCTTTCCACCAGAAGGATCACATCTCCTGCTCGCATATGCTCCTGCAACACACTCTCCACTTCTCCAGGGCTCAGATCTCGAACGTCAGCCCCATTCACCTTGGCGATGACATCTCCTTCTTCCAGCAAAGGGCATCGCTGCTGGTCCCAGATCTTCACAACCCGAGCCCCTCGCCTGCCTCCATTGAGAGATCCTACTCCAAACCAGGGCCCAGAAGGGCTGCAGGGCAAGGGCACTGGGGTGAGGCGGCTGCAGGGTGGCCCCCGATGGAGGTGCCGCTCGGCATGTTCCTCTTCGTCGCCCAGACAGGCTTTGGTGCAACAGCGGACGCTGAGTCCACGGGTCCTGCGTGATGGGGCTGGTCCAGCTTCTTGGCCACAAGCTGGGCCTCTGGGAATAATGGGGCTGGGGGGCACAGCACCGTAAGTTGGTGGAGGGCGTCGGGGCAAGAGAGGCTGCCCATCAGAGAGGCAGGAACAAGGTGACTGACGATGGGTATATTGGAGGATACAGTTCCCGTCAACTACTACTACGACATTCACTGCAAGGTGGAAGGAAAACAAAGAGAGCTATCTTTGTCTATGCATGACAGGCAACAACACAGCATCCTTTGGCCTAAGGGAAGGCAACCTGGGTTCCTCCAGCTGTTTGGAACCACAACTCACCCAAGATCTTGCCACGGGACATGCTGCCAAGGGCTTATGGAGTGGACATCTAAATAAGCCGAGGTGAGGGCTGAAGTAAAGTTAAGTATCTCACCCCAATTTTTATGTCAGATACTTTCCAGACAAAATCATTTGTCAAATTGTCAGAGCCAATATGTGGTATTTGTATTTCTGACAACACCTCACTGGTGTTATGTAATAGATTTAATAACTGACATGCAACCATGTTTAGTTGTCTGTAATATTTAATAGCTAATAAGCAATGAGAGTATTTGATGAAGCAAGTAATAGTATTTAAACACTTAATAAGTGACATATCACAGCATTTAGTATTTGAAAGTATTTTTGACAGTGATATATTATGAAATTTCATATAGGTTTATACTATATTATTGATGTATGTCATGGTTAGCTTTAGTAATACAGTACAGGACTGGTTTAAGTGGGGTATACATGTGAAAATAAATAAATAAATAAGCAAATGCTTGCTAAAACACAAGATGCTAAAACAGTTCAAATCCATGGCAAAATGTCCTACTCAACATTCACATCTACATGGGTAAAATAGGAAATGTCAGTGAATTTCAAGTACCCATATCAGCTTGAGCCAAGATCAGTCACTGCTATGGAATGCAAGGCCATAAAATGATTATAAACTAGTCATTCATACATTTAGAAGGATAAATATTCTGGAATCATCTGCTTGAGTTTGAAAAGGATAACCCTATCCACTTCAACTCAGAAATAAACCTCAATGAATTCAGTTGGGCATACTCCCAGGTAAATAACAGGCATAAGATTGCAGCCTATATCTGATATCAGATCTGGATCTGAAAAACTTATTTTGCTCCAACTATCTTAAATCAGTTCCTTCTTTCGCAGGAGTACCAGAGAAGACTGTAATTAAAACTGAGAAGATGGATGGGATGATGTCACAAAGGTGGGACACAAAAATTATGTCTCTCAAGAGTTGTATTCCTTAGGGGCCACATGTTGGCAGTAGGCAGAAATAAATCCAGTCAAGTGGTGGACACACATAAACATCAATAGAACATCCCTTCTTTCTCTCTCTCCTGATCTAACATGTTTTGCTGCCTAAGAAAGAACAGCAAATTCTGCTTGGGTCCTTCAACTATCCACATCAAGGTACAGAACTCTAAGCCAGCCATGTTATTTTAGTGGAGTCCTTGGTACTCTCTGAGCTTGGTTGCTTGCTTGCAGACGTTTCATGACCCAAGTAGGTAACATCATCAGTGCTAGTGAGTGTGGGGTTTGCTCCCTGTTTATATACAGTAGCTTGCCCTCCCAGTGTTGGTGGGGGTGTG